AATGGTGTGGCTACAGTGACTGTGAAGTGTTTTTGTTTTGTCGATTGTTGTCAGTTGTTTGTTTTGTGTTCTTGGAATTTTGTAAAAAAAAAAACCAACAACAGTTAAATAGGTATGTTATTTTCATTTTGCAGTATATCGTAGACAGTACTTGTATACTTTGTTATCCAGCATAAATATCAGATTGTTCGAAAGAATGATATTGTAAATTTCGTTCATTAATGTTGTAAGATGACGCTTTCTCTGGGGCCTTCAGAGTTCTATGTTGACTATGTCCCGGTCCCTTTACTCACTTGTTGTCAGTGTCTGAGTGGTATATACAAAATACGACCAAGTAAACGTCAGAATATTAAAAAAACAGAAACCTAAAAATCAGTTGCCCATGCCAAGAGAGCCGCAAAACCAAAACAATCTGTCGGCCGTCGCCGCCCACAGCAGCGATATAGTTTTACACATCGAAATTGAGAATAGCTGCATGTGTAAACCTATTGCATAGAAATGACCAGCAGTCGAATCATCAATCTTCATGAGTGACGTAACTGGCATTTCCACCTATTTGCTATTATTCCCACTATCCTAAAACGCTCAAGTGAATGTTGCCAATTCGCGAGTGTGTGTATTTTCGTACAGTGGCGTAAACATTGCTACAATCAAAGACGCGCTGAACAGAAAGTTAATTCTGGGCTAGTACCATTGTCAAATTCTGGGGAGTAGAGGACTATTTATGTGGGAGACGTTACAATAAGGAACTATTAAAAATTGTTCGATTTGCATATCAAAATCCTTTATTGGAACAGAGTATGTTCTATATTCACCAAAAAACAAAGTTGTTATGTTTCTAGACACACAACAGACTCGAAACAATAGAAACCGTTCGATCCGAGCGACCTGCGTTCTTGAAAATCGAGTCTTATCACCCTTGCGTTTCCGAGCAAAAAAACGTTGAGGCCGAAAACGACCGATTTTCGCCCAATCTTCTATGAATTTTTCATAATTTAGCTAATTCAGTTAGCGGTTAGATAGAGTATTTATTAGAGACGCCCGGAGAACCAAAATTTGGGACGTGAATCACTCCAGCGACTAAAAATCGGCGAAAATGGCCAAGGGGTGAGGGACTGCATTTCAAAAACATATTTTATATATAGGGTATATAATCAGTACATATTAATTACCTAATTTGCATAATTAATTAATTTTCAGCATTTGATATAAGTAGTGAGCAATTACATTTCAATGAAACTTACATACTCAAGGACTATGCAGAGATTGATTGTTTCCGGTAAATATTTGTGCATATTAATCATCTAATTTGCATAATTAGTCAATTTTCAGCTTTTCGTATCTCAAGTACTAATCATCGCATTTCAATGAAACTTGGTACATAGATCCTTTAGGACTATGCCGAGACCTGATATTTTTAGGGTAAATAATTGTGCATATTAATTACCTAATTTGCATAATTAATTTTCAGCTTTTCTACTGATATCTAAAGTACTAATCATCACATTTCAATGAATCTAGAATTATGCAGACCCAATTAGTTTCCGGTAAATATTTGTGCATATTAAAGATACACTAGCTGTAACGACCTAGTTTTTTGTATTGCAAACGTGTTCTACATGAATAGCAATTATTTCCGTTCTATTAGCTGAAACTAGTTCAATTATTTGATACCGGGCCCTTTCTGTATGCTTTATAAGCTCGCTAAAAGCACTGAATCAACATCGTGAAGTGTTTATTGTACGTACCCTAAGC